ACTGTTACCTCTTCGCATTGACTTTCAATATCATTCCACCTTCAGCACTTGGAGTCCTTTTCATGGGTTACCTTATACTGACGACTTTAAAGTGTCCGTCTAACTGTACCATTGCAATGTTAGCTGTTTATCGTTTTAGCCATTGCACCTTCAAGGTAAAGAATTTCTGAAATAAGCGCTGGTCTTTGATGTATAAAAGTGGAAAAGGAGACTCCATTTTTTCTTCATAATAGGCATGAAAGAAATACACCTCAAGCTCGTTGAGCAAGGTGTTAGAAGTAATTGACTTGGCTGAATTTGTTCCCTCAAAAGATTCACTTTTCACCACCGCTCATGCTGATCGGATTTAACCCGTACGACTGTCCGCCACCACTGTGCACCGGTGAGAATCGATTTTGGATATTGATCACCGGATGTTGTACTTTTACTTACTGCGTTCATTTTGGCTACAGAACATTTCTTCAATTCCAATAAAAGCATTTCAAAGTCGTATTATATATTGAAGCCTATTAGTTATATTTTTCTTTGTTTTATGCGGAGGTGTGCGATAGACTTAACTCCACGTGGTGCACCCTGGGCAACGTATACTCATATGGCAAAAAAGTCTATTAACTGGCAGTTGACTTCTGACTTCAAACTACCATCACCCCACTGTATACCATATTCGACTTCGTCCACTGTGCTCACCTAACCTTTTCTCTGCCTTTTCTTCTGCCTGTCTCTGTTACACCTGTGAATCATTATTCTGTCCCCCCTCTCGACTTTTTGTCACTTTGATGTTCCTTCTCCTCTCTGTGAAGCTCTGAAGTCAGCTCCAGGGCTAATGATAGCTATCAAAACGCCTGCCATTTGATATAAATAAATACTTTGTTTTATGCTATAATAAATTAATATATTACAGCGAATGTTGAATTGAAAAGTATATAATTAGAGGGGACTTATGAAATTCTCTTCCAGGGCTGAAGTAGAAGCAAGTTCACATGTAATTGGAACAATTTAGACACGCACGTATCTACAAGAGTACTTCAGCTTGCGTGTACTGATAACCTGATATGCCCCTATTCGCATGTGCGTGTGTGAGTGCTCTGATTTAATTCCTATCTAATAGAAGCTGAATTTTTAAAAGCTATTTGCATAATATTTTTAAATTTAATTTAACAAATTCATTTGACTAAATTGTTAGTATTGATAAGTCCTTACCACCCATCAGAGTCTTAGTCAACCTCACCTTTAAACGACAGGAGTAGATATAAGTTAGAGGTCTTCACTTATACAGTAATTGGTAAAAAATGCCTATGTGAAACAATAGACGATGCATCAAGGAAGATTTGCAGGATAACTTAAGGCCAAAGGAATGCGTGGAACTCAGGTTATTCTTTGATAAATTGACACTGCAAACAAGGTCCATGAAAGAGATTACCTTTGACCTGATGAATAAGTAATTTAAGAGAAAAAGGCGATATAATAGAAGTTGTTCAGGTCAATTACCAACATTTGCTCAAGGGGGCAATAGTTTCACATAGGCGATCAACAGAGCTTTCATAATTTTTTACCATAACAGCTAATCTAGTTAGGGCAAATGAACAAGAGTGGCATAGATCTAGCTTCCTTTGTCCTTCAACAGGCCAATTGTGTAAAAATCATCTAGCACTAAAAATAGCTACTTGGAAGTTTCTACTATACCGCGGGCGTATTGCAATTCTGTCTTTTGGGGTATTTCATCTAGTGGCAGCATAATTTTTGGCAACCAAAGAAGGAGAACAAAAGTTATATATACTCTAAGGATCGAAAATAACCGTCTGCGTGTCGATACGCATATTTAGACCACCTCAGGATGGGAAGTCTTCCATTCAGTTGATGTTGAAAATCAGTATTGCATTATTATTAGCAATAAATGCAATTTGAGTTCAACATATTGCCATCAACTTCATTCCTCTGGGCTAACACAAAGGTTCGGTAACAGTGACCTTGGAGGGAAGCAAATAGATTTTTATCACTTACGTATGGACCCCCATTTCACCTGCAGCGAATTATTTTTTGAAAAAGGGGTGTGCGATAGACTTACCTCTACGTGGTGCACCCTGGGCAACGTATATTCACACGGCAAAAAGTCTATTAACTGGCAGTTGACTTCTCACTTCAAACAACCATCGCCCCATTGTATGTCATATTCGAATTCTTCCACAGTACTCTCCTCACCTTTTTCCACTTTTGTGTCTGTCTCTTTTACATCTTTGAAACTCTTCTCTCCTCCCTCTCGAATTTCTTCCACTTTGATGTTCCTTTCCCTCTGTGAAGCCCGAAGTCAACTAAAGGGGTAACGATAACCTTCACAACGCCTGCCATTTGATATAAATAAATTTTTTGAAAAATGCACTCAACCACACTCATGCGTGTCTCACAACAGACTGATGCCAACGTAAACAAAGTATAAGGCGACGGCTATATCGACGTAACAGTAGCGTCTTCTGCTACGAGTCCTGTAGGGGTTTACGGAAGTGAGCTTGCAAAACTGAGCTAAAAGCTAGAGATTTATTCACGTACGCTTCGAAGATAGTCATGTTTAGGTCTGCATGTGCATGATGTAGATAATTAATAAGATGCATTTTGCGTGAGTATCTTCTCAACCTTAAATTATGTTCCAACTTGTTTGAAAAATAGAACGTTTCATAAATCATCCGTGGGGGTGCAGTGAAGGCATAAATAAAGGGAAGGAGCTAGCAAAAATGAATTCAGGAAAAGCAAATTTGTTCTAGCCTATGGTGAATTTTTATTCGAATGGCAGGCTTTATGGTATTTATCATTACCCTTAAACTTTGACTTCAGCTTCCCCCATGGGTGGGGGTACATATATAGGAGTTAATTAATAGCAGTTCATTAGCTGTCCTCTTGCTTCCCAGTATCTCTGGCTTTCCGTCATTGTCTTTAGGGCTGGACACCGAATCAGGTGGGTCTTCTCCATTTCCTCCTGTAGGTTACATTGAGGGCATGTGGGTTGAGTGTATACTCCCAATCTGTGAAGGTGTTCTGCCAAGCAATCGTGTCCGGTACGTAGTCTAAACTCAGCAACGGCTTCGATTCTTGGCCAGTCGGGTATGTATGTCAGAGAGTGCCACTGTCCACTGTTTCTCCTTTGTTCGAGCTTTAAGTTCGTTACACATTGAGGTCTGGAATTCTCTCCTGATTAAGGCCTTCATTGTGTGGAAAGACATCGGCCGGTCCATGCATTGCAAAATCGTTGTCCCCTTCTTAGCAAGTGTGTCAGCAAGCTCATTGCCTTTAATGCCACAGTGACCAGGAACCCATTGTAGGACCACTTTTTTGTTTTTACTCTCAGCAGCTGATAGAGTTTTTTTTTACATTCGTATATTTCATCTGTTTTGGTGAGTTTGAAATTGCCCGAGAATGCACAACTTAAATACTCCCGAAATTCGTTCATTATCTTTTAAGATTTTGCAAAAAAAGTAGAGGTTGGCCAATCGAGTTATGATTAGAGTAAATTCAACTTCACAGACAAATTTTATAATAATAGTAATAATAATCACATCGTTTTTTGTGAATAAAGAGGCACTTACCAGACCTCGCATTGTCTTTTGTAGCCGTCTGCAAAAAGCATCACTCTCGTCTTCTTCAGGTNCACCTGCAAGTTCTCGATTGCACCTTTCAGCTCTGTTTGAATGTCACCTACCACATTTCCAAAAGACTTGGCCTTATTTTGAGCGCTTGATCTAGATGTCTAGAGCAGAACCTGCATTTATTTTTGATTTCGAAGGGAAATCTCAATTCTCCGTGTCAGGACAGCAACCACTCTCGAACCTGTTCAATACTCAAGACAAAACGTCTCGTTTAGTTTAACTACGCTGCATAAATATGGAGTTGATTAAAGAGAGTAATTCATGTTTTTCACTTCGGCAATTTTATGGGTGTAGAAAATATTTGCCCATTTAAGCAAGGATGCAATTTGAATAAGAGACACATAGATTTCGACGTACTAATAACGTAAGGATGGCCGTGTGAGAGGGTATTTTAGTTTGGAAACCGAATTTTTTCACATATCGCCAACTGCCGATAGGCAAACATCTATCCATGAAAGTTTGAGAGTGTACGCTCAGAACTTAGCAATTTGCTAATTCGCACATTCGTCGAATTTCATAAGGCGTACTCTACAAATTGGTCTGAGGGGCGCGCGACAGACTTACCTCCACGTGGTGCACCCTGGACAACGTATACTCATGCGGCAAAAAATTCTATTAACTGGCAGTTGATTTCTGACTTCAAACTACCATCATCCCACTGTATGTCATATTCGATCATTTCCACAGTACTATTTCCATTGTCTATTTCCTTTTCGATTACCAATCCCAGCCAAATCACCCAAACTTGGAGATCGCATAGACGAACTAACCCCATAAAATAAGAGGTTGGAGAAGTTGCGATAACGAGATGGGTGAATTATACACCACACTCTCGATCAATTCAAATCCACTGTACCTTAAAACTCAATCATACTTATAGATTCAACCTAAGCACAGAAATCGCACAATTTCGATCACTCACATGATCTTAGAAGTGCGTGAAATATTTAAATTCCCATTCTCAGGAACTAAAAGCGAACCACGATTCTACACAGAATGAGTTATATTGTGGCCTCAAAATTATCATAATAGTAGAAGAATAAGCGAGATAGGGTTCTAGACTAAGAAGGAAGCAGAGACATAGATGGGGCACGAATACGCCTGTAATTAAAATAAGTAGTGACCTCCCCACACACACCTGGGTGTAGGTCAATGAGTTTGATCAAGGAATGCAAGAGAAAGTAAGCCTTTATACAAGCACTTGGGCGGATTTTAGAGACAAAAAAACAGTTCGGAAGACAAGGTTAGGTAGAAAAATGGGGTGGAGGGGTGGGGGGATAGTATCCATCAGATGTCGTCAAAGTATATCGAAAGACGCACGCGTACTTTGCAAGGTTTCAAATTACATTGGCCTTTGACTCTCCTCTATGAGTACTCCTGTGGTGGACCTAATGGAATCGGCTCTGAGGAAATGGGATTCGATTGTTGGCTGTTGTAGTTGTAACCACCTTCGTTATTGTCATTTGTTCGGTTCCTATCGTTATCTGAATCCTATAACGAAAGCGCGTGCAAAATGAACAAGAGCCCCTTCAAAATAGAGTCCTAGAGAGATGCTAAATGAGAACTGTACAAGATGAGAAACATGAATTCGAAAAGGATGAGTTACGCTTATATTGTTATTACAATGGGTAGCTCAGTTGCTATGAAATTAGAAAAGATGAGATCAATGAAAGTAAGACTCCTTACATCTCATTGCCAGAGAAGGCCAGATTCTGCTAATTGACTAACACGTTTAGCCCCCCCCCCCCCCTCCACTTAAGAAAATGGATCATTGCATTTCCAGGTTATTAGACTTGATAAAGCGACTGGTCTTGATTTCGATAGACCCTCTCTCATTCAGAAACAAGAAGATCGGATGAACAAAGATGAAGAAAACTCGACACAACCCGATGTCTAATTCATACAGTCTAAGGGGAGTGAATCAATCAGGATGAGAGGTGGCCTTCGCTAATTTTCACATCCACTCCAATTGGGAAAAGTGGGCCAACTTACTGGTGAGTGGGAAAAGTATGGAACAAAAAGTACACAACGATAAGAATTCAAGGACCGAATCAGCAATGCTTATATCTAGCACTTCAGATTAAGCAAGCAATAATTATGCATCATAATTTGGTAAAATATTAGCTAAAAACTAGCTAATAACTCTACAAGTATCTCCACACTGTTCACCATGTCTCTTATCTTCTTCTTGTGCGATAGACTTACCTCCACGTGTTGCAACATGGGAAACGTTTACTCATACGGCAAAAATGTCTATTAACTGGTAGTTGACCTCTGACTTCAAATTATAATGACACCACTGCATGCCATATTCGATTATTTCCACAGTACTCACCTCATCTTTTTTCTACCTTCATCTTTGAAACAATCTTCTGTTCCCTGCCCCCTCTCGACTTTTTCATTTTGATGTTCCTTCCCCTCTGTGAAGCCTGATGTCAACTAAAGGGCTAATGATAGCTACCAAAACGCCTGCCAATTGATATAAATCTTCTTGTAAATACAGAAAGTATTATAAATTATATAAACTACAAATACAAGAACAATCAACATGAGACTTTCACACAATTGTAAAAGCATTAAAGTTAGCACAAACCCAAAGAATTATCGCATCACTGATCACTAAATGAAACCCGCTTTTGCGACACAATAGAGCATAGAATTGAGACATGCTTTCGTTTAAACTAACTTCAACCGCGTGTTTCATAAAGTACACTTTAAATGCAAATTTTGGCTTAACTTGAGTTTGACTAATGGAACTTTGAAAGTTATTCACTATTCGCCAACAGTTAAATTAAAACAATGTCGAAATACTTAAGCATATACGATATTACACAAAACCGTTAAATAAGCACTTGACAGTTTAAGTAAGCATTTTCCGAAATTCAAGGAACAAATCATGAACTTTGACCTTTGGAATGCGAGTGACCAATTTAGTAGGCACCCTACAATTCGATTACGAAATTCAAATGACATAAGCCATAACATTGATATCTCAACGTCGCTCTCAGGATCCAGTTGATTCTCTCTATCTCTGGACGGTGTACCAAACAACTTAAGTCGACTTCCATAAACAAAAGGTCCAACAGCTTTTGTTTGTATTACCATGGAAAAGAATAATAGCTAAAATAAGGTTACTCTAGTTACCCCAAGACTGCATAGTTAAAAATATCACTTATATGAGAACAAGAGGAAATTATACAGACAAGGCGATTAAATTAAAGATCAAAATGAAAAGTGTACTTGTCCACAGGGAGCAATTTAAACAATCAATCATTTGCCTGGTAGTATGGGATGTTCTCACACACGCTGGGAATAGTAACCATGGTCTGCAAATATTAACTCAATGCCTCTCAGTAATTTGAGGTGAAAACCTCCTTCCAACATCAAACAAAGATAAAAAATAAAAATAGGTTTGCGTTGTGCATGATGATGAAATGACATAAACTAAAGCAAAAAAATAGCCTTTGACATTACTCTCTAAGTAGAAAGAACTTCTTGCGTACCATGAGAAGACAAAGGACAATGAGGGGCAAATTCCAACTTGAACTTCAGGTAATCTCCACTTTGTGAGGACTTAAAGACCATGTGGTAGTGGGAGCTTAACGATTTTAAAGCTAACATTAATAGTACAACGTTCATGCTAACGCAATGGGAACCTACAAACAATAGACATCAACGTAATAGGAAAAATTAGTGCATCTTTGGGTAAACTCACATTCCGTAACTTTCGTGCTGACAAAATTTTACCAGCCACATAGGTGAATGTGCACATAGATGAGTGTTTAGATCTCTGTCATGGAAGTCGTGCATATAGGTACGGTTTTAGATGCCTGCTATTTTTTTGGACGGCAAAAAAATTGAAAATGGAAGCAAAAACGAGGATTGGAGGAAAATCGAGAAAAATTTTCCAATGGAAAACTTAAAAATCAGGCCACATTGGAATCAATTTGCCTCCCTCACTAGGTACAAAATGAATACAGTTAATTCAAACCTGAGAGATGATTAAGTAGGAATGCTGTTAAATCCAGACGTTTTACTAATCAAGCAAAAAGGCGTTTTATAAGAGCGGCAGCAACCTTCATATTGTTTATGTTGAGAGAATAAAACGCTCCCACACCGATAAATTATTGTCCAGACATTGGGGGCAACGGGAGATTGACCAACCCGATATGTAGTTTCGCCAGATTAAGCAACTAATCAAATAGACGATAATAGCCTATGAACGACGATGCAAGAACGAATTCGATCGGGAAGCATGAGGTAAATCGAGAGGTGTGAACATTAGACTAAGCCCAGGGTCAAATTTATGCGCTCAGACTTCCTACTCAATTCCCCTCCCTCAACCCATACTGGAAAGTTTTAACATTTTCGGTAATCAAATGAATTGCTTCAATGAAGGAAATATTTGGTCTTAGCTCGGAAAATATGTAAAATAATAATAAAGATAGGTATATTTTCAAAGTTGATTATTAAGTGCAAATCACACCGTGGTACGATGATAGACCGCTTCAATGCCACAACGAATTACGCAATCTCGTAATCACAAAAAGCTACACACACAATGGCTTTGAGTCACTTAAAAATGACAAATACTAGGAGTGGCAGTAAGAAAGCATTGACTATAAAAAATTGAGAGGTAAAGTCCCATCACTTAATTGGAACAGCAGTCACACATGACGGAGTGGCTTTAAGTGTATCCTTAAAACCCATTCAGGGCCTTTAAATGAATCTAAGATGGTAATCAATAATTGGAACGACAATTCTAAACAATGAGAGGGAAAACCATTACGAAGCCCAACTTTTATATTGTCAAAAGTATAACGTATTCGTTGGCTTGTAATCGGATTAGCTATTTTTCGGCTTAGTCGCTATAATACGAGTAAACTTGTTCAAGAACAGATGGAGTGGGTGGTACTCCACTGCTTCGGCGGCAGTGACAGGGAAGATTAAAAAGCCACAAACAAGAATGTGATCTGCACTATGACACTATAGTCAAATGACCTTAAATGGAAGTAGCCAAAAAAGCGGCTGAGTTGTGAAAAGAAAAACAAAAATCTAATTCCTAATTTTAGACCTCTAGATCTATCGCTAACAGAAATATGAGCAAAATATTTGTCTTACATGAGTGCGCATGAGAAATGAATTGTACAAAGCACAGAAGTTAGTCATCCTCAGAAAATGCCATAGGCAAAATTGCGAAATGGTTGAAATTGTTAATTATTTCAAATAGAATAAAGAACCCTTTAGAGATTATATGATGTAATCTCAGATTCCATAAACCAATAAACACTATTCTAAGTTTGATCTGATCAACATAAACAATCCATGTAGTTAGAGTCAAATCGAGCAAAATCAAGCCTATTAGATAATTTACAAATGTTTCTTATGTTAATTCATAGTGTTTCATGAATGTTACTGTTGGACCCATATAGCAATCAGAGTTATGAGGTTCCCAAATGTAAATCTTTACAAATATCAAAGGGCCAAAGCTTACTTCTCGTTCCATTTCGTATAATTGCTCGTCTTCAAATTCACAACTTTGTTTTCTGCAACAAGAACAACAGAAGCAACAGCAAAGGCAACAACAGCAACCGGTTAAAAAGAAACACGTCACTAGTAGACACTGAAATACAAAAAATAAATTAATTAAAAATCTATTCAACAATATCACATGAAGGAAGGCCTATCCAGGAATTTTGCGGCATTTACCTTTAGGCAAGGGTTGTTTAACTTTAAATACGTCATAGCAGCATCTTCACCGACAGTTTCACTGACATATATACCGTAGGATCCATACTTATCGTAGATTTCCTTCTTCTTTGGGTCAGTCAGAATCACGTTGGCTCTGTTGATTTCGGCGAACTAAATCTATAACGAACAAGAAATGGCATTACCTTTTCGCTCGACTTTGGATCATCTGGATTTTTGTCAGGATGGCATTTTAGGGCAAGCTAGATAAGACATGATCGACACGTACAAAATTCATACCCTTCGATAAGCCCTTTTAATATCCTCGGGAGATGCATCTTTTGGTATTTCAAGTAATTCATATAGTGATTCTCCTTTAGTTCTGAAAAGAAAAGTTATTCAAATTCGAATACGTACGAAAACTTTCTAGGATCCCGAAGACCGGGAATGCCCTCCGGAGAACTAGCTCTGTGACCTTCTTGCTGAACCATCTGAAGAGTGGAAGACGATGCCTCTATTCGATTTAAGCGGCATTTGTACTCGCATTTAAAGCAGATATTTACTAAAATATTTCTCAATAAATACGGGAAAATTAAAATTTTAATATTCATTATATTTTTACGCCATGTAACAATATCATGTGCACTAATATTAGTATTAAACTTGAGTTCCAAATCACTCTGGTTCGTACATCGACTCAGATGCAGAAAAATAGCGAGAAAAGTAAAGAGTTCATTATTTTGTGTATACACAATACCTTCAAATCTATCTCCTGGCATTTTCGTTTTAAATAAAACACTCAAGTTAATAGCCCCGTAGTTTTTCTTCGTTGGTACTAAGACTCTAATTAAATGTCATAAACGCCTAAAATTGTTTATGAATAATTTTACATTCTCAGTAAAATTTAAATTTTAATGCGGTTGAACCAGATCTTCGAAAATTCGGGTAAATCTTGAATTTTCCATATTAATGTGAAATAATTAACCCTGACCTGTCACAGGTTGGAGTGCGCCTACTTTTGAGATGTCCATTTTCGCGTTGAATAATTTAAAAGATGCAGATGAAAACTTTCTCCTTATGTAAAGCTCTGTCCTTGTTACAAACAGCGGACCACTTGCAAATTCTTCTTATCCCCCCATGAATGTGACTTGTATGTAAATCGTTGCTTATTTCCATTGAAAGTCTCGAAGTCCAGCTAAATGATAAACAGATATTTCCTAATGCAATCAAGTTATCAAATTGATTTGAGTGTTATTAAATTTTTACGCTTTGTCGAGGAAATAGGCAACTATATGGATCTCCAGTAGTAATGCGGACAACGCAGGCGATCTCTTTCTAATATTAAGTTACAAATCGACGAAATTTATTTCATAGCTATTAAAAGCAATAAAATATTCGTTTTTAAAAATACAGAAATGCTCGGGAGACATTTGGATATTTGTTAGAGTGATGGATGTTCCTTCTTATAACTCCAGTTACGACCAGTCAATTGCTCCGCAAAATTTTTGCGTAATGTGCAATTTTCCTTGTAAGTGATCGGATAATTAGACTGAGATGCTACTAATGAAACTAGCCGATAACTTATTATTACATAACACTTAATAAGGCAAGGTCAATACACGTTTTGATTTAAAAAATGAGTTGCAACTACTTAAGAATAAAACTACTTTCATTATTGGCTTGCGTTGCTTAATTTAGGATATTTGGATGTGTGATATTTAAAGTTATGTTGAATTTCTTATCTAAATTTTTTTTTCATATTTAAACATATTTTTAAATTTCCAGCTTCTCTGCCATTATTCATATACAATTTATGTATTTCATACTTATTATTTAAGAAAAAATGTGGCAAATCTGGAATTTTTTGTAGCCTTGGGCGATTCGAAAGCGGGTTTGTCAACAAACTACCCTATCTGCAGTGTTCATTTCGTTGCTTTTCGTCTGCCATCTGGTAAAAATGCTTTTGATAATTATTACATACGCTGTTCGCTTTATAAATAAGTTTGAAAGCCAGATGAATGTTTTTCAATGCCATCGTCAATGTTGTTAAGGATTTAAAAATCATTGGTTTAATTATTGCAGATGTCAACCCCGCTAGAAGAACAGGAGAATGAAATAGAAGTTCTCCAGTCCATATACGAGGATAATTTCCATCTTCTCTCCACAAAGCAAAAGCACAAACACTTTGAAATAAATCTTTATGGCCACGCGTGCGACAATATGGAGACTGTAGTCTCCTGTACTCTCTATTTCAAATATAGCTCTAAATACCCATCAGATGGTCCTCATTTTGAAATTCGTTCTCCCGAGGGGATCAGTGATGATCAAAATGCCGAATTAGTCACACTTATCAACGAAGTAATCGAACGTTCAATTGGTGCGATTATGATCTTTGATATTGTCTCCGAAGTCCAACAGAAACTTGATGAGTACACTGATAAGCTTATTAATGACTTAACAGCTCGTAAGGAGAAGCAAGCCAAGATCAAATCTCTCGCAGAAGCAGAAAGAGAGAAAGAGAATGAACGGAAGTTGTGCTCTGGAACTCCTGTGACTGTGGAGTCTTTTAACGCATGGAATAAGGCATTTTTAGCCGAGTTAGCCGCTAAAAAGGAGGCTGAGGAGACGAAGATTAAAAAATCTCAATCAAGCGGTGCTCAACCAGTCAAACGACTCACAGGTCGTGAAATGTTCCTTCGTGATGATCAATTTGATGAATCAGACCTTAAAATCCTGGAGGAAGAGGGTGGCGAAATTGTTGAAGTGGACGAAAAGTTGTTTGTTGATATTGGGGATCTTGATTTGTCCGCCATAGAATTGGATGATTTCAATGTGGCTGGAAGTGGTGAAGGTAGTATTGTTGCTTGATTGTTTTTTTTATAAAATATATTTCCTAATTCTTGCGTTTTCTGTTTTATGCTTATTTTTACTCCATTTAGAATCAATCCTTCTTTACTGTTAATTTTTTTGACATGGGTTTTCTGTTTGTCTTTATTATTGTATTATTGAGCAATTTATTGTTAATTATGTCTGTTTTTACATTTAATTGGAAGTAGTTTGTCATGATTGTGCTAAAATTCATCATTTTCTGTCGCAACGAATGATAAGGCGTCAACTTATTTAGAAGTTTTCTGGATCTCTCCATGTATTCCCTAAAATGCTGCAAAATTCATTCATTACAATGAGAATTAAGTTAGATTAGCCCCGAGATACTTCGATTCACTTTCTAAAAATTTATTCATATCAAATGGCAGGCGTTATGATAGTTATCATTAGGCCTTTAGTTGACTTCAGGCTTCACAGATGGGAAGGAGCATCAAAGTGAAAAGGGTCGAGATGGGGGGGGGGGGGCAGAAGCGTGTTTCAAAGATGTAAAAGAGACAGACACAAAGTTGGGCAAAAGGTGAGGTGAGTACTGTGGAAGTAGTCGAATATGACATACATGATGTCAGTATTCTTCGCGAAAACACTGTTCCTCTCCCTCACATTTATTGAGACAATTTCATGTCTCCTAATTCTAGTCAAATTAAGTTTGGTAAATTAATACACCGAGATGAGGTTCAAGTGACTCCGGAGTACTGACAACGTGGAGGTAAGTCTATCGCACACCCCAGTTTTCAAGAAATCAATAGAGTGATTCGACTTTCCATACTTCCTACGGCGTCTGGGAGTTGTACTTCCATTGTTTAAATAGTTATCCTGCGCTGAAATAGTTATATATATGCACGCATATCTAAATTCGATGTGTCTACAAATTCTTCTTTTTGTGGGCCTTGCGGTGGACGGTCATATGGAGCCTAAATAGCTTTCAGCGAATGATTATTAGTAATTTCTGTTACTGCTATAAGGCATTTGGTTATTCGAAGGAGTAGTAAGATGAGGAAGGAACGCTTTTCTCGCATATTACCAAGACTTATTTGATCCAGTCGATCTATTTGAAGGTGTTAGAGGAACAAGGAGATATTTTCTTCTAAAGAACAATTCTAGGTTTTGATTTCTACCCTTAATATGGAATTCTATTCAAAAGCAAGTTATTTGTACTTAAACCGTCTGCTCTTCCCTGACGTATTTGTAATTTTGTTGGTTCTGCACTTATACCTATTGCAACTAAACGAACCGATCCTCTCAAATGTTGTCTTCGTTGACCTCGCCAGTTTTCCAATTGTTCTGCATGTGGTGCTCATAGCAGGTCTTGTATTGCATATATGTATTATCTGACCTGGGCCAAAATCATGTTTTTAAAAAAAAACCGCAGGGCTTCAAATTAACATTTATTAGTTCAATGCAATTTAGTAGCTGCACAAATAGTGCCGAAATACCTCCCAAAGAGCAAAACAGAGGCAGACCAGCGTGTACCTAGCGGACAAGATAAAAGAGGTCATGTATTAGGTACTTTTGATTTATAAGTAGTAAGTACTGAGTATCACGAATAACAACTTACCAAAATTCAATAGTTCGTAACAAGCACTGAAAATGTTCTGAACTTTGATAGACAACTCAGCATAACACATGTTATGGGAAACCGATAATTTATCTGATGCGATTTTTGCAACCATATTGAAGCATTCCTTTTCAGCTTATCGTTTTATTCCCGAGGAACTCTTAGGTTGTATAAGTTGTATCACCCTTACTTTGTACCTTCGTATAGGTAATTAATAGCTTCAACATGCTCTGAGATTATGATTCACTTGATGTATAATTGAGAGGATAGAGGTGTGGTCAATTCCTGTGGACTTCCAAGCAGAGTCCAAGTTGAATATTTTTTTGGCTAACAAACCATGTGCCACATCTGACTTTAGCGACTGAACCTCCCGCTCTAAAATTAGCTAGCATTTTCCAACCAACAGTCTGTGGATATTTTTTCAGACATTGCAACTGACCAACATTCCAAATAGGTTTCAATTCTTTGTTCGATTGCAAACAGCATTCCACAGGCCTGTGCTCACAGCTGTTATTAACAAAAGACAAGGCAATGCTGAACTGTATACACTTGACACGAAATAGCCTCTGGACATCACGTGACCCAGAGCAGGCGCTTTATATATCGCTTCCGGAATGGTACAGGATCTCCTTTATCTTTCCCACTGGGTAACAGAGGCTAGTCCTATGTATGGCCATTTGCTACCACGCTTAATTACCAATGGTTTAATCATTTGTTGATAGATACGTTGAATGACACTCTAACGTTATTTTGCTCATTCCCATAAACCATGCAGTAGATGCTTGTTCCATAATTTCTTTCCCTTTCACACAATTCCTTCCTTTGCAAACAGAAGGAATTATGCCGCCTTAAGAGTTTTAAACAGTCAATAAACTACCTAACTAAGTAACAGGCCGTTAGGAAAGCGACAAACGAAGTTTAACGACACGGCGTTTCTTTTCATGGGATGAGCAGTTCCTGGCCCGTGTCATGAGTGACCTAGGGACGTTTAGCGAGTAACTAGACTATAGAGAAAGAAAAGGCCAACTAATCACTCTATTACCCCAAAAAAACCACTTCAACAATTATAGTAACTTAGATTCTGCTACATAAAAAGCATAGGCGTTGAATTTTACAATAGCCAAATTTCTCCGAATGCGATAGGTAATAGGATAACAAATAAACAATAAACAAGAAAATTTTAAATCGATCAGCCAATAGTCTTCCGTAAAGTACCGAATAGGCGAGTTGTGGGAGTCAGCATCGATTATTGCAGTCAGAACACGCAAAAATACTATTTAAAAGGTGATAATAGACTAATTAGCAAGTGCGGATGTATGTGCCAAGTGAGAGAATTGTTTGATTAAACAGCTGCCATGAGCAGAGAGCAGAAACACAAATGAGGATAAATCCGTTCAGAAATGTAGCACCATCAATTGATCTCGCGTTGTCTCCTTTGGACAATACGGACACTTGAGTTTCCTACAAAAAGGGGAGAAGAGGTACACCAAGTTTAACAGAGTATTTGCAACTGTGAAATGCGTCAAACCACTCAAAATATAGCAAGCAATCGGCTTTGTCCTCAAAGTAATACATACAAAGAGTGCAGACAGAGGTCAAGGCAGTCAATCCTGGTTAAAGCGGAAATACGACTAATTAAGCATGCAAAAAGAAGTGCCACCCAAAAAATTTACCTATGGGCTCATCATTTAGGTGAAAGACGAGGAAAAATAGGGACAGACGCTCTTTCCACTTAAACTCAACGATCAAGAACGTGTCGTCTAATTACTCAAGAATCGGATCATGAAATTTGAATTCCCATGCATGAAATATCCATTAAGACAATCATATATGGCTCAAATCAAAAGGATAAAGATTTTAAATATGTTGAGAAATGTGACACCCGCTCAATTCCAACCCATTGCCTCACAAGGACACTTCCGGGCTAAATAGAACAAATTTCCAAACGTTTTTTCATATTCTATACATCTGATTATCAGTGTAATTAAAATTTACTATTTGAATACTTTGGTTAATTGAACACACAGAAGTGTTGACCATTGCAATTTCGCAGTGGTCTTTCGAACCGACAAGAAGCTTTAATATATGTCGTAGAAGATTCATATTGATTTTACGTGAACCATAGGTCTTTTTGTACATTGCAAATGGAGATACAGTGAAGTGAGGTAGTTGAAAGTGCAAACAACTCCAGGTTTTGGGTCTAGAAGCCGAATACTGGGATACTTCAAATGCAGTAGAGGGACAATAGTAATGCTTGCGGTGTAGAGATTCAAATGCTTGTCGGCCAAACACTAATGGAACTCGGTACTCATCGCCGCGTATTGAGATAAGAGCGTTACCAACAACACCACGAATGTGACCTGAAGCGCTACCTTCATTTCGATGTAAAAATAGGCAAATGCAGGAATTGAATTTTGTGAGCAGCTAATTTTAAAACCGCATTAATTACAGAACTAGCTAAGTAGCAAAAACGGAAAAGAGGTTAGAGAATTATTCAGTTAATTATGAAGAAAACGTTAACACACCTGAGATTTTCAATTAACACTGATATAAAAAGTAATTATAATACACTAGAACAGCCTTGATACTTCCACCACTTCAGAAATATCACAATTATTTTGTAATGGCAACTACGTAGTTGTAATAATGACTCGCCAATCATGTTATGAAACTAGGAATAACTGATCTATTAATGCAAAAATATGTACTTGCAGTTCTTTTTCAACCGCGACATGTCATACAAAATAAGCTTCATTCTGAGCCTGAATAAAGTGTAATTGATTCTACTTTTAAGGGAATTAAGTAGTGTGCTCGAGGCGATGAGAAGACTGCTCAAACTTGAACTTTCTCCCCTCCCCCATTTAAAAGCTCCTACAGTCCACATCTTAAATAGATCAAAGCGGAGGATAAAAAAGAGAAGATTCGAGGACTGAAGACAATACCGCTGCAAATATAATGAAACTTCACCACCAACCTACTCATCTTTACGCCCTACTTCGAAGAGAATGAAGGTAAAAATATCCACATTTATGAGCTAGATAAATTGACAGGCGACCTACAAAGACTTTTGTGAATAGAAAAGAGTAAAAAACCGACATTTGGAAGGTAGAATGCCAAAAAATCGACAGGTGAGGAACATGAATCTTGTAAGAAAACCGTTTAGCTTCAAAGAAAACTGCCCAAATAAAGTCATTAAGAGGCGGGTAATCTGAAAGAGTCATCAACAGCCAACCCATACAAGTTCAGAAATGCCCGTCTCACCAAGACAGTCTCTCTTAATTAGTTTGTGCATAAACAAAATTACTCAATTTTTTGCGCCAACAGGAGTTACATCAAGCATGTTAAGCGGTTAGAACCTTGATTAAGTGCAACAAAACGGAAAAATGGCGCGCATTAAGCCCTGAATAAACATCACGAGGTCAGATAAGCTCCGCAAATACATATGAAAGCACATTGGTAAAAAAAGGGGGAAGGGAGGGGGTGAGAACGATCAACTAAAAGCACAATCAAGGCTTACCCTCTCCTACTACTACAATTGGGAAAAAAAAATGTAGAAAAGATGAGTTAAGACACAGTTGTAATGAGGTGTTCATGTGTCAAGCAAAGTTAAGCAAGATAATGGACTTACTTTCGTTCATTATTTAACATATTATTGTAGGCATCCCGAGTGATGGCATGTCCACAGTGTAATCGGAGCACTGGGTTGAGCCAATTGGAAACTTCCTTTTCAACGGGACAGTGGAATATGTTGTGCTGCTGAGCCACGGAGTCAAGCTCAACTGTAACCTGGAAAAGAAGAAAAAGGAAGGAATATGAAGCAAACAGATACCTAGGGAGTGTGTTGATGGCGTAGCTATCTAAACACTAACAAAAAAAAACGGAGGTGACCGGAAGTGCAACAGGGTTATAAAATTGAGCTGGGGAATGCCATGAATACCAACCTATGGCAAGGAGTACACGTGACAATCACAATGGAAGTACCTTCGCTTCTATTGGTGGCGATAGAAATGGTGAGGAGCACTCTCTATGCTTGTCAAATCTCCATCAAATTCGATGAGTCAGCAGCGGATTAAGAGAATCAGAAGTAAACTCACGAGTACGCAGATTACCAGGATAGCATAAGATTATAACCTAATTAGCCTCAAAAAGCTACACTAGCCTCAGAATTCAATATAGGCGGGCTTTACTTGAAAGTTATGCAATGCAAATAACCTGCCCAAATGTTATGAGAAATCAACAATACATTGTGAAATCGTTTACGAAAAACGTTGAATTACACAAGAGATGAAGTAACCACCTTGCTATTTACGTCCAAAGTGAAATTAAATTCCAGTTTAGTTAACCCCATTGATCTTCTTCGAGGCTTTGCTTACTACCCTTGTAATTATCGAAGTCATTTCTGCCAAAATAGCGTAGGCGACCGATTTTTTCGAAATATATTTTTGCTCTTCACACATCTGAACTTAGCCATTTAATCTGCAATAACCTATCAATAACCTACCATCAGATATACTTTGGCTCAGAATGAAGACACCAGGGCTATCCATTAGATCCAATTTAGATTTATTTAAAGAAAAACAAAGCCTAATTTTTAGAAGTTAAAAGCGGTTGGAGAGCATTAAGATTGAAGAGGAAAATTGGGTAATTCGAAGCCTGTCGAGGGTAAATATTAATTCCACTACCACGGGATAGGAGAATAAGACGGATTCTTTGGTAGAATGTACTTTGATGGAGAGAATAGAATGAAAGCGACAGCAATTTACACTCCTTCATGGCGTCTTGCCCAGTCTGCAAAACCCAAATTAAAACCAAGCTCCCATCAGTTGCAACCCGTCATACGGTCAGTTATTAACGAAACATTCTGGCGCAAGATTTTGCTTGCATTTAAAATTCTATAAATGCAATTGCATTCTAATTCAGAAGTAGTTAACAAGTTTAATGCTATAAATGGAGGAGACATTGTAATTTGAAGCTCAAGATATCATAATCGAAACTTCACATCCTATATCCGTGAACTCAAAATTATCTCAATTGTAACAATCTAACCCGACTTACTCGGTTCCTTTGACAATTCAAACTTGGATTTTCTTGATCGCCGACTTGACAGTCAAATTGTCAGGATCGAGGCAATATAAAATTGATCATTACGGAGTCTTACCCGCGCTTCTAGCCAAACGCCAATTATAAAAATCTCGTAACTAGATCACGTGTGAGGTGTGGAGAAGCAAGTTACAACGCCGCTGAAAATAGGCGACGCTCTTGCTCTAGAGGAATAATGACGAGGTTTTCTATGCCGCATTTCATGTCAAATTGAAGTCACCCAGACCTAGTTGGATGCAATGCCTAGACACTTCGAAACAAACTATCGAATGATGGAAAAGTAACTCGTTGTGAAAAGAAACTTTCAAGATGCCTAAATAGTCGAGAACGACGTATGTATACTAGCATCTATATTTGCTGAGCATTCATGAATCCGCTTGACGGAATGGCACAACAAGCTAGACAATCATAATTAATTAACGGGCATATTAGGTCATAGCTAATAATTGATTTATCGGATTTTAAAAAATGGACGGAGGGAAGCATCTATCACAGCAGTTTTTTACAACTTTCCTTCTCACGAAATCGTCCCACTTTTCTGTCATATAGATCACAATGTGCGCTTTGTCTCTGCTTGGGAAAGAAATTAACACACTTTCGTGTAGAGAGTTCAACAGACATTACAACTCCACACACACCAGATCGGACTTTTCTCACACGAGTGACGTTTCATGAATTGAAATGACTCTTGAGGTAACGCACACACACCCCGAGTAAAGACGGCTTTTCGCCCGAAGATAGAACTTCAAATATCCCCTTTCGCTAAATAGATCTACGTGTATGCAAGTGAAATTTACATTCGTTAAACGCTTATCCACTTCTACTATTTTCCAACCTTTTACGACATTCTGTGCACGCTCAATAATTCCCTCTGTTACGCCACGGTCTATCTCTCTCAGCTAAAGAGAAGTCAAATTAAGTTAGAGAATACTAACACGGAAATCGCCAGCATCTTAAATCAATTCCACCAGGAGTTTGAACAAATCGTTAGGAGTATAGAGGTTGAACCAAAATTTTGAATAAAACGATAAAAAACAGTAACGGATTGCATAGTTAAGGTGGATGAAGAACTCATACATTTCAGTTGCACTTTTACAAGAAGAGATAAAAGCAAAAGGAAACCATTAAATTTCAGGCTTCTTTCCACTACGTCTAAAAAGTTCAGACGAGAAAACTACGGTCTTTAAGTAGCCAATTTCATGGAAGAATGCCATGATTAAAAGTTTGAGAACTAATTTAAAAATACGCATAACATGTGATTCTGAACTTAAACTCGTATTTCTCGACACTCCCACGGTACTTAGACATCCAAACACCATTACCACGATTCAAATTGAACTTATTTAGGCGAGGTCGTATTCAAATGAAGAGCATTTTATACTTCCAAAAAGTATATTTCTAAATTTTAAACAACCGTGCACTGGATTTAAGACTTTGTTCAATGACCCAGTGGGCCTTTCCACTTATCGGGTGTGTACCAATGAGGTGCGAATGTCTGAAATCACGCGTTATGCAACCGGAACATCCAAATGTTTGAACTGAGCTTGGCTTTAAGACAGAATAAGTGTATGATGACTTCTTTAACCTAGCTTGGCCATCTTCATACTGACCAACCTACTTAAGTTTTGTCGAACAGCAATCAACAATTTAATAACTTACCGGAAGTGTTTGTATACCATGAGGACCAGCTTTGGTATAGTTTTGGAGCCAAGTAAAGGCCTTTTGTGTTTCATAGAGCTTTGGAAGCACCTTCAACCCCGAGGCGAATGCCATTCTGAGGGGGTCGATTGTGGAGAGCTTTAGTTGATATTGACAAGCCACAGCACCAAAGAGATGGGCAGCACGAACAAAAGCATTCGGTTTGAGGTTCTCATCGGAGTCAGAAGAAGGACAAGAAGTATCCATATCATTCTGTGCGTCCATAGGCTCAGCGTCGCCACATTCACCCTCTGATCTCTTCTCTCCTTCAGCGGAAGTGAAAAGGCTCACCATTGGGAGAGTGGGTAGTGAGACGCCAGAGGACGTGATGAAGTGGGGGAGATTGTTGGGCTGATCGATGAAGGAGAGATCGGCGTAGGGAGTGTTAGTGAGATCACGGTTTAAAAACAGGAGGCTTCCCATGATGTGCTTGAAGTCTGGAATTAAGAAGACAGATATTTGCACACGTTGGCTTCAAGCATAGATTATAACAAATAATCTAACTATAGATTATGAGTTTTCAATTTAAGAACTTTATATCACCTACATCCAAGTCACAACACCATTTGAGTCTATAAACGGGTGTTATTAGTGAATCAGATAGACGAAAATGTCTGATCCAGCAAAACAACTTCACAATTCAATAACAATAATAATATATTAATGTCGGCAGGCGTCGATCAGGAATGATCAGTTGTTGGTGACTAGCATAAACGAATTCCCGGCTTGGTAGATACATTCGGGCACTCTCAAGTATCCTATCCTAGAGCAAAATTGGTGCCGGTAACTTGGGGTTTTAGCATAACGGTTAGTACCCTAACATTGTGGGAATCCCGGCAAAGAACAGGAATCCCAATAGTGTGTTGCGACCGTATCTTCCCACTATTCAAAACAAAAAAAATAATAGTACATTTGCATTTGACAAATTGGACTTTAACAAGTAGGCTACCACTACCTTAACCTCACCATAAACTCTCCTTTAAACAAGTCCGCGTAAGATGTACGACCTACATCTCCAACTTCAATCTGTTAACACTTTTGAACGATTCAATATTCATAGAAGGAGCTTATTTTGGCTAAAATTTTTGAAAACGGGAATTCCACCATTAGTTGGAGGGGAAATAGTGCACGAACAAACCTGAACTGGATTGCGATATCGAACCTCTCTTCCTTAGCACCAAAATTCAGCGCAATTATTTCACAGATCAAATCTAAAGCCATAAGGACACAGAGGCGGAAACAACATCTATTTTTAAACCTACCAAACATGACCCGAATACTTTGTAAATTTTATACAAAAGGGTGTGGCTCACTTCCATGAACATGGGCGAGCACCCGGCAAGGGGATAAGCCAACCCAGAGCTGGACAAAAAGTCAAATAAAGAGCAGTGAACAAGTCAAGTGTCTCCTCAGAGGAGCAACGGGAAAAAACGGATGTATCTAGGAGTGATAGAAAATTATTTCTAAAATAGGCTTGGAAGAGTAACTAAATGGATGAAAATGTCCTTACAATTGTTGAAACATAAATACTAGAAACGATTGTAATAATAATTGGAACCAGTAAAAGGTAGAACTGAGGACACAAACGCATTGTGAATGGAAAGTAAGCAAGTTAAATTTGCAAAATTGATGAAGGGTGCCATTTAGTGCAATAAATTCCAACAAGGGAAATAATAGGTTTATCGAAAAGTATCAAGCACCAAATAATGCTCTATCAGTAATGAAGAGTTAGTTATTCGATCTAAAATGCGGTTGTAGCAACAACTATCCTATATGCGAATAAAATATACGAGATTACTAATTTGAAAAACAAACATATACGCATAATACATTAAATAGGAGTTTTATATAAAAAACCATTTCAAAAAAGTGTACTAGGTAGAAAAAAATCGCAGTGAGATAAGTCTTTAAAAAGGACAAAATAATGATCGATAAGGTGTCAAAATTATGTGATCAAGTAACCAAGTGAACATAACAGGCAAAATAGTTTGAACGCAATTCATTTCAAATTGAGAAAGATAAATCAGTTCAACTAACCCTCTGGATAATCTTTTGAATAGGGAGAAATTTTGCTCAAACATCCAATCACAGTTGCTGGGTTTCCATTACATTTCTGGACGTCCGAAAGGAATTCCAATTTGGCCAAAACGTACCTCAGATCTTTGGCTACTGACCCAATAATCGATTCATAAGCCTCTAGCCAACTTGATAATAAAAAATCACCGATGAGCAATTGAGGGTTAACAGGTTAAACAGTCAGCGATAAAACGTACGCTTTCGCGGGTTCTAAATCTCCATCCTTGAGAGCACAAACCATTGAACCAACTTCACGAAACTTTTCCATTCCAACATCCTCCTCATTCATGCCAACTTCCTGTAAAATAAGTGATATTAATTTACAAAAAAATATAAAATAGGTATTACCTTGGCTAATTGAATGGCTACGGGACCATAGCCATTTCGTACCAATTCCTCAACAAGAATAGTCGAAAATAATTCATCATCACTCATAACATCAGCCTTTTTATAGATTTCGGAATCGGGAAAGAGTTCGTTCATTAAAAGTGGTAAACATTTTGTAGGATCACCAGAAATGTATTTGGTAAAAGCAGATGTATCTTCAACAAAAGTCTATTTAAACAAAAAGCATTTATACTTTGCACAAACCTTTTCAATAGTTTTCTTGAACTTTGAAATATTTCCATGAATACCCCGATGAAGTGAGGTAGCATCTGCAAAGTCGGATTTAATATTGGATAGTAAAGAGCATATTCGGATTTTAACATCAGGAGATAGAGCTGCGTCTAAAATAAATATGAATTCGATTAGTAAATATTCTAATAATAAGTTTACACACAACAGTTATCTTTGGTTACCTGAATTTACGGATTGCAGCTCATGGACAATTTTAAGCAAAGCTTCTTCGTGGGCTTCGGATTTCTGATCGTATTTTTTGTGAAAATCATGCAAGCCCTTTTCTATTTTATCAGTCTCAATAGTTTGATTTTGCAATTTTTCCAAAATAACATTTTCATCTTTGGCTGTCATTACAAACAACGCGGAATTACGAAAGTTATTTCAAACGAATTCAATGGAGGTCCTTGAAATAATGGGGTTTTATTCCAAATGATTAAGCTTATTTAAAACATTTGAGCATGATTGGTTATTTTTTTTATTCTAAACTAAAATTATTTTAGCTTGAATTGTTAGTTTTAGTTTATTTTATGTATGCAACATAATCTTCAAAGCACCTTTTATTATCAAAGATGTCCTTTTAAATTTTCTAAGAACTTTACCCGTATTAAATCACATATGTCGATATTTAAGCTGCGCAATATATTTCGTCAAATTTAAATAAATTATAATCTACATGTATATAAAATAGTCAAAATAAAACGCGCGTCTCTCTCTTTCATGTACAGAATTGATCCAGTTCGTCCTCAATTACTTTTAATTCTGTTATATGATATTATCGTGCTATATCAATTTTTTGTATTATGTACAGAGCATATCTCATCTGATTGAAGGTAGTTATATGTAATTCAGTACCGTTACCAAGTTCTTGGATGCAGTACAAGTTGTAATTACAATATTGTTCACCGTTGCAAATGATAATAAAGTTACATTATCAAATAGAAAACAATTAAAAATCCATTTATTTTGAAATTCTTTTAGTATTTCAATTTTCTACCAAACTGCGTATCTTTTATCAAGTAGCTTATAAAACAAATGCCAACAATATCTCTCAGTATGTAAAAAAATAGTTCGTGAAAAAGTCGGCGATTTTGCCCAAAACGCATGAAGACAATTTAACTTCATTTTGAATTCAGATGAATAAGTTAAACTTTATTAGAAATGATTATTTGTGCAATGGACTACGTACTGTTTTATATTAAATGACTGTTCTCCAGCTATAATGTTGCGAACGGCACTGCCACCAAAACCATTTCAGTAATTCTAAAATTTACGACACTCTTCTACTTGAGAATAAACAGTAGTAGTTCAAAAGTCTTTTTTAAATCGTTTACACATACCCTTCGTACAATCTTTAAAGTTATTTAATAGATATTTCTTTTATCAAAGTTGTTATAACACCAAATGACTAAGGCTGCCACTAGAAAAATAAAAGCGATGCTTTGAAATTAATATTCATACAATTTCAAATATATTACAGACTAATAATTGTCGATCGGGAGATTGTAAGAGAGAGAGAGAGAGAGAGAGAGAGAGAGAAATAGAAGGAACTTCAATAGAAAGAGATTGTAAGAGCCGTACGTTTATACGTTTGCTATGAAATCGACGTGTTTGGGAAGATAGTTGAATGTTAGTCAAACTCCTAGTAATCTCGCTCGTTTGAGATTGCTGTTTCCTGTCAGCCTTAATACGATCATAAGTTAATGAGGATAACTGTGCCTAGCCAAAAAAATAGGGCTTTGCTTTGGATTAAAGTTAATACTACTGGCTAGTATGCACTCAGTTGGAATAAACCATCCACTTCAAGACTGAACCTACGGAACCTGTTCAACTTGCTTTAGTAAAATTGGTTTTAGGCATAACAGATAAGCAAGATTTCAGACAATTACTTCTCCCGGGGTAATCCTTACCGGAAGTGGAATTGCATAACATTTGAAATATTGCTCATTACATTTGCTGTAATCTCCCAAACTGTTGAGACATTTCTATTTTGGGCTGTTATATTCTGCCTCAAGTGTAGAGATTTAGATTAGGATCAAGATCATGAACATGTGCATTCAACCTCTTCTCTATATTTCGTTGCCTCTGGAAAAGAACACTAATGGTCAAAGTAACCAATTTTATGATCAAGAGAGCTTCATCATTGGTAAAGCATGATCCATTTGATAAAGTTAACTTCAGTCCTATTTAAACTTATTGAAAATCTTTTCTTTCACATCTGCTGAAGCAAATTGGAGAGCTCTACGTCTTTCTTGCCAACGCATATCGACAGTTTTCAGCAGGCAAACTTTTGATAGAATGGATGCCATCAGATTAAATAAACCGATCACTTACAAACACATCCCACTCCCATTTCTCCTCCATCTCCCGAATGCAGTGTGTGCCTTTATTTCACACAAATAGGTAACTTATCCTGTTTAAGGACAGCTAGGTACTCACACAATAAGTAAGAATATGGGCGCAATATTTTCCGCCACAATTGTTACTGTCAAAATGGTCAAATCCATGACTAGATGAAGCGTAGTGATTGGAATAACAGGCGGACTGATCAAGTTCAATAAATAAAAATGGGAGTAAGTTAGTTTGAGTATCTCAGGAGATCAGAGATGAGGCATTTTTTTAGGCTTATCGTTGGAAAACTATTAACTAAATGGCCCTTGGAGTTACAAATTTGATTTTAAAATAAAAGTTTTCTTAAGTCACTCAATGAATGGTTACTAAGTGAGGAAATTATTCACAAAACTTATGCGGAAACCTGAGGATTTCCAATTAACTTGTGGAGGTTCATATTTCTTATCTAACGCATCCGTATTCCTTGTTTTAGTTCAAAGCGTGAATTTTGCACCCTTTGAATGTTAATTTCGTTCAATTATGATAGAGACAACCTTGCTTTGAGTCCTTGTTTATTAATATCCGATATTAAGAACTTTTGGGTGTGCGATAGACTTACCTCCTCGTGGTGCACCCTGAGCAACGTATAATCATACGGCAAAAAGTCTATTAACTGGTAGTTGACCTCTGACTTCAAATTACCATGACCCCACTGTATGTCATATTCGACCTCTTTCACAGTATTCACCTCACCTTTTCTCTCCCTTTGCGTCTCTGTCTCTTTTACATCTGTAAATCGCTCTTCTTTTCCCCTGTCGAATTTTTCTCACTTTAATGTTCCTCCTCTCTGTGAAGCCTGAAGTCAACTAAAAGGCTAATGATAACTATCAAAATGCCTGCCATTTGAAATAA